CTTTAGATTGATTGAAGGAGCAAAAAGCTGGCACACTCCACTAGCGCCTCTGTTTTCGCACTCATGCCTCGTCGGCAGAGCTGTCTGAGCTGCTCGAGCTTGAGCTGGTTGTGCTGGAGCTATCGCTTTGCGATGCAGCACTCGGTTTCCGCAAGAGACGCTGCCGCTTCCTGCGGTCCTTCGCCTTGGCCAAACCAGATTGGTACCTAGCGAGTCGGCGTTCTGTTCTGGACGGCGCCACTGGTCTGTCCAGCGACTTCAAAGCTTCAGCACGATCCATGACGCCACTGCGGTCTCCTTTCTTGGGAAAGGACCGACTTCGTTTCCACTGAGGGTTGCTGTAGTGGCCCCTCCGCCAAACTCTGTCATCAAGCTCCTCTGTCCACTTTTGCAAGGAAAATGTGGTGCCCGCAACGCTGTCGCTGAAGCCGTGGTTTTTCCACAAAACCCTCTTCGCTGGACCAGGTGTGGCAGAAAAGGCATAGGTTTTGAATTTGCACTTCGCTGGAAGAGGCTTTCTGCACTTGCCGCGGTTTCTTTGCGCTTTCCCATTGCTTCACGATGTACCGGCATCCTGCAGGTGGTGGGTCCGCTTTCAGTGGCACAATAGGCCAAGGGCAGCGTCACATTTTGTTTCCAATCGAGCCAAACGATGGCAGTGCCCTGAGTCAATGCACCCAGCTGCTTCTGCAACTCCTCCTTCTGCCGGAAAGCGCTTCTCTGATGGAATTCGTATGCAGCCACCACCTTCTGGATCCATCGGAGCTCATGGAGGAGTCCTGCCTCTGCCTCATGAAGGTTGAAAATGAGGGACTTCACCTTGGCTTTGTTCAGCTCTTGCCTGTAGCGCTCGGTGTGATTGTCCACGTAATAATTGTAGTAAGCGCAACAGCGTGCCAGCTCTGTGTCGTACGACCGGGTCTGGAAATGCTTCCAATACGAAGGATAAATAGAGGTGAGCTTGGCTTCCATATCTTTCAAGAAGCCTTACTGCAAGTCTCCGGTGAGGAAATAGAAGTAAGCACGTTTGTTACGGATACTATTCACACATTAGGTTTGAGAATACAGGTCAAAGTCTTCCACTGGATTCGTAAGGAACGGTTCATCCTTGGCAGCACCACTGTCTGCAGGCAGTGGCAGTGGTCACAGTAGTCGCTGGGCTTCGCGCCCTTTTTTACAAAAGGCGCGTGCTTCTTCACGAGGCGCAGGAAGACGGACAAGCTCATCCGCGACATGATGTTCTCAGCGCTGGTGTATGCCTGGCATGGTCCGGCAACCCACTGCCTCACAGCGACAGACTCGTCATTTAATCTCATGAGCTTGGATGTCTCCGTTGAGTTCTCCTTCGCGCAAGCAATGACCATCTTCACAGCCTTGTCGTCGCTGCCCACACTTGGACGGCCCGGCTGGGTCAAGTTCGCCTGGCAAGTGCTGCTTTGGGCAGATAACTTCAAAAAGAAGCAGCAGACCTACTTTACGATCGAGGCGTTTAGCCCACACCCTGGTTACTCACAGGTTTTGTTAGCCGCTGACCCGAACACAAAGCACCCGACTAAGACGAGCTATGGGCCTCGATCCCATGCTTCGCCATCTTCCAGCTCCGCTTGGACACGGCAATGCCCTTCTCATGGAGTCCTGTGCGTGTTCGAAAGCCAGCAGCTATCAAAGCCCGGCCAAATGCTTTTTGAGCAGGGACAGCCCTTGCTATGGCAGCTTCCTTGCTGAGGGATGCCATTGCGTGGGTGAGCTTCTCGCAACGACAGGTTGTGGACACGCCGACTTTCAACAAGCAGCTTTGCAGTTGCCTGTCCTTCGCACATGCACGTTTCAGCAGTTGGCCAAAGAAAGCAGCTGTCTCTTGCGAACTCGGGCACTGCTTCTTGATGAGCTGCAAGAATCTCTGCACAAGCTCTCGGCGGCTGCGCTTCTTCTTCGAGCTCCAAGGTAGCAACTTAGTGCTGGTTGCCTGTTTCTGTTTACGGACTGCTGCGCTGCTTTCGGACACAGAGCTCTTCTCGGTCACAACATCCAAGGATGGCCGCGCAGTCTCCTTTTGCGCCCTCTGCTGCAGCTCCAGGGACTGCTTTCTGGCATCCTGGTCTTTGTGGTAGCTTTCGTACTCCGGGCACAACTCCACTTGTCTAGCTCTTGGAAGCTGCTGGAACCGTGTGTTACACAGCTTCCTCTTGTAGTCGTCCAGAACGCGCCTCGGGGGATTCGGGGCTGAAGATTTAAACAGCAGGTTTCCGAGGGCTCGCGCTGTAAGTTTTAGGGTCTCGGTTTCGCCCTGCCTGCATGCTCCAGAGCCTTTGGCTTCCACAGCTGCTCGTTCTAGTGATCCTTCACGGTCTTTACCAAAAAAGGCATAGTACGCGTCACGACCGCGATCCCGCAGTCGCCTCTTCTCCTCATTCGTGAGGATAAAAGCATCCAGCTCCTCTAAGCTGGCCATGTGACTACGAAATGGACGTCCTACCCCCGTAGTACTGCTTTGAATGTTGGAGGGGTTTGTGGTCAGGAATGGACACCTGCCCTAATTATTGACTAGCGAAAAGCTAGCGCCTAGCTAGCGCCTATTTCACTATATCATACATAATTTTGGGCTGCCTTTGCAGCACTGCTTACAATGCGTGTTGAAACTGACCACTGCAACTTGACCTGTTCCACTCGCAAACATGCAAACGCTGAATGCTGAACATATTACAGTAGAAGCCAGAAAGTTGGAACATGGGCTTAGGGGGATTAGTGCTAGGATCTCTTTTACTTTACCCTAAGGGCATGAGCATAATCATTTTCCAACTTTCTGGCTTCTACTATAGCCTACTCTCGCTTACACAGCTACTACAGCACGTAACTACCTGCCCTCTCAGGATGAAACAACAGCATGCAACTTTGTCACCTGCCCCGTAGGTGCTTGTAGCAGCCTATGCTTTTCTTTTTTCGAGGTCTTCATTCTCTTTTTAGTCCCAGTGGACACACGTGAGGGCTTTCCCTAAACAGACGGCCTACAACGAGAAGACAAGGGTCTGGATACCCCACCGACACTTTATGTCAGAGCGAGATGGCCTCAAGGCTAGGGTGGGGTCTCGGAGTGGGGCCTGCTCTAATATATCTTGTGGATAGAACGGAAGTTCCGATGCTCACGGAAAAAAGAAGAGATGAACGAGAAGAGTCTGGATACCCCAACGACTCCATATGTCAGAGCGAGATGGCCCCAAGGCTCAAGACGGGGTTCTGAGAGTGGGGCCCATATATTAAATATCGGATTGAAGATTGAAAGAAAGAAGCTCGCGAAATGCGACTTCAGAATCCTGAATGTGCATACAGCCGTCGGTTCAAAATCTTCGGATGTAATACAACTGCCGTTTCAGAATCCTATCAATCAACATAACTGCAACCTTCGGTGTCAATAATGACAACGTTGGAAACATGCTAATCCCTAGACCTAGAAGCTTCAGAATCCTAAAAGTGCATACAACTGTCATTTCAAAATCTTCGGATATAATACAACTGCCGTTTCAGAATCCTAACAATCAACATATCTGCATTTTCACAACCTTCGGTATCAATAATGACAACATTGGAAACACACTAAATCCCTAGACCTAGATGTTAGACCCCAAAGCAGAAGCACTTTACCCCAGTCACTCGTTCCTTGCGGCCCCGTCCGCGCCCCTGCGAGCAAGCTCACGACTAAGACCCATGGGCTGACGCACGGGTAAGTCCTCAGCCACTCTTGGACTCAGGCTCCTCGACATGCTTCTCATCCAGCAACTGCAGGATTTGTTGCCCCTGCTTAAACAGCAACCTTTCGGCCGGAGACATCTTATTGACAACCGCTGCTTTGCGGCGGAGCAAAGATTCCTTTGCAACTTCTTCCTGCATCTGAGCCGTCCAGAGGCTCTGAGACCTCGCATTCCTACTGCGAAAAAGCTGCTCGCAGTAATTGCAAAGCGCATTGCGAAAATGAGGATCGCGCGGATGCTTGCAGCATTTGCAGCACTCTGCGCGATTTGTTTTACCCCCAAAGCCTTCAGGACGAGGATTCTTTCCTTCAGGCTCAGCCCGCTTGGCATCTGGTGTGACAAGATCCGGCTCGGCCAACTTCCGCTTGGATGGTGTCACGGGGCCATCTGCAATGTCCCCCGGCTCGTCCTGGATCTTGGCGCTGGCTTCAGGTGGAGGTGTCGTGTCCTGCACCATGGTCATTGAGTTGAAGATGCGCTACTGTGGTTGAAACAAATGACAGCTCGGACACTCCTCCTTGCCCGGCTTTGAATCAGCCACAAGCGGTGGACAGTTGACCAGTACGTCCTTCGGGGGGCTGTGTTTTGTTTGGAAGTTGGATGCTTTCTTAACACATGCAAGGAAAAGGCAGGAGCCTCGGCAGCGCTTTTCACGACTTTGCCACGACGGGGTTGCCACGGCGGAAGCTCAAGCCCTTTGGAGTTGGCGTACTTGATGGCAAGCGGTATGCTGTAAAGGATTTTGCCATCCGGAGCTGAGTACACCCCTCAGCGATTGAACACGGGACTTATTGAGGGCACAACATAACAGACCATGGCTACACCGGAAAACCCGCGAAAACATTAAATCCAACCTCAATATTATACCTCACCTCAATAGATTCTAGATGGGGATTACCTACGCTGGCTTATAGCATAGAGCCCCTCGTCACACCAGAAACAGCTGCTGTTGCCAACAAGGCGCAGTAGGATTTACCGACGTTCAACCCAGACAAGTAAGTGCGTTCATGCGCCCGCCAAGCCATCTCGAAGGCCAGCTACCCTAAGGAAAAAGACTCTTGAAGCCCAACAATAGGAATCAGATGCATGCATATCAAAACAACAAGCTCTCGCAACATGCTTGCAATCATGTGCCATCGCCCTCAAGAGCTCATCCTACAACGGTTCTACTGAAGACATCATACATCTTGCATCTCATAATAATTATGACCTCTAGCGCCATCCTATCGCCATCCTAGCGCCACCTTGGGGGAAAGCCGAAAACCTCGGTATACGCGTGGTGCCGCCTCTAAACAAAGACTAAAGCCAACACACCAAGCATTCACATCGCCACCTGATCATAATATCCACACATGGTATTTTGACGTCCGCCCATTTAAATTATTTAAATTATTTACATTATTTAAATTATTTAATTCCCGGCCCCGAATTAAATAATGTAAATAATCTAAATCATTTAAATAATTTAATTCTTGGGGAGGGGTTCGGGGGGTCCCGGGGATAAAGGTGATAAAAAAAGGTGATAAACAAGGTGATAAAAAAAGGTGATAAAGGTGATAAGAAGGTGATAAGAAGGTGATAAGAAGGTGATAAAAGGTGATAAAGGTAATAAGAAAGGGGATAACGGTAATGAAAGGTGATAAAAAAAGGGGATAACGGTAATGAAAGGTGATAAAAAGGTGATAAAAGGGTGATAAAGGTGATGAAAGGGCGATGAAAAGGTGATAAAGGTGATAAGAAGGTGATAAAAGGGTGATAAAGGTGATGAAAGGGCGATGAAAAGGTGATAAAGGTGATAAGAAGGTGATAAGGTGACAAGAAGGTGATAAGGTGGCCCCAATCGAATAATTTAAATATTCTAAATAATTTAATATTTGAATTATGTAATTCCCGGCACCGAATTAAATAATTTAAAATAAATAATTTAGATAATTTAATTCTTGGGGAGGGGTTCGGGGGGTCCCGGGGGCCTCCCCAGGATTTAAATTATTTAAACTATTTAAATTATTTAATTCCCGGCACCGAATTAAATAATTTAAATAATTTAAATATTTTAAATAATTTAATTCTTGGGGAGGGGTTCGGGGGGTCCCGGGGGCCTCCCCAGGATTTAAATTATTTAAATTATTTAAATTATTTAATTCCCGGCACCGAATTAAATAATTTAAATAAGTTAAATAATTTAAATAATTTAATTCTTGGG